CCAAGGAGCTTTTCGGAGAGGATGGAGAAGGCTTTGCCATTTGAGCGGGTTTCCTTTTCATATTGACTGCCTGCTGCCTTCCTTGAGCGGCTCGTGTTAGAATTTTTGGGAGTTTTTACGTTAAATGAGCTGAACAAGTTGTGTGAGATCCCTGTTGCAACGACACATATATAAGCTGTGCCTGGCAGAGAAAAAATTCTGCGCTGATGCCATCATTGGGATTTTTTTTTGAGTGTTTCACATCTGGTTTTAATTTATTAACTAGATCAGAAAGTGCAAATAGTGGTAATGATATTCCCCTAATTAAAAGCGCGACGCAGTCCCCCTTCATACACCGGGATACCTTAGAGGCTAACTGAGGAATTTAACTTCAGCTGATAAAACAAATGGCAATGGGAGGAATATTAAACCTCCTGTCCTGTTGCAAATGTATAAAGCATGGGGACAGTTTTGTTTCATGTGAAACAACCACTGGTGTATTAGCTCAGAGTAATCTTTCCCATAGCAAGGTGGTAGAGAAGCAAAATATATACCTTATACAGATTGATTTTTAACTCGCTCTGATACGCGTTCCAGTTAACCAAATGCTAAAGTAACACATATTTGTATATAATTCCACAGAAGCCGCAGATCTCATCCCGAGTGCACGCAGCATAGGTATATCGATATACATAAACATACTGTATACTGTAAATAGAAATTACAGGAACATTAAAGTAGCCATCTCGGGTTTATATATCCCGAAATTTGGTATGTTACTATTTCTGGTTTATTGAATGAAATGTGATGAAGTCCAGGGAAATATGGGCAACACGTACTTATGCTGCCTGAAGGTAGTTTTTTGTTCACCTGTGATTTTTTCTATAGGTATCTGCCAATCTATATAGCTGTCAATATATATATATAACAACATAGATATAGCTATATATATAATATGTAACACATAATATAGAAAATTAATATTTATAATATGGTTATATATCTAACTGTAATATAGAGTATGTAACTATATACTATATATTGTATATATGTATATATTATACATATATTTGACTGTAATATAGAACACATAAGTTATAACTATATAATAATATATAGTTATAAACCCATCAATATAAATGTCAACATATATGATACAATATTGCTATATTTAAGGTTCCTGTAAATTGTTTAATCTATGAACTAGGAGAACAGCCAAGTGAACATACGGCTGTGTCTGTGCCCTAACAGGATTCAGGAGAAGCAGGTAAAAATTGGGATATTTTTGCACCTTCTGGGACATATCTGGTTTTACACAGCGGCAGAAAAAGACGTTTAGAAATTCCTGTTTAACGAGCGTGGTCCGGATGCCTAGAAGTCCTGCTGTGGATCTGTTTTTTCTGCCAGGAGGAGATATTTAATAAGCAGCTACTGTGCACGGAGGCGTTCTGGCCAAGGATAAATTGGAAGGAATTTAAACAGCACTCATGGATATACCTCTCTGCTTTCCCTTTGCACGAAATTCAGGTTTAATCATTTAATAAAGTTGTTACTCATCCTTTCTCTGTTAGCGTGCCCAACTGAGCTGTGGTTACGACTCTGCAAAGTTCTTTTTTTATATTTTTAGGAGCTTTAAAATCAGATATAACTTCCGATCTCGTGTCACTGGCTTGTTTTCAGTTGAATGTTTTCAACAGCACTCGATTTGTATTTGCTTGTTTGTATTATAAAAACACAGGCGGCCCTCCACAGAAAAATGACTGAGCAGGTTAAAGGAATAAAGAGCAATTTGGCACTGCCAATATAACATCGGCAACTGAGATGTTCTGGAAAGACTGACAGTTTTTTTAATCCATTTACAGAAGTTTTACAAAAATGTGAAGGCTATTTACTGCAACACGTGAAATACCTGCTCTGCTCTTTGTCCCTTGAATATTTTCATGTTTTCAAGATGTGCATGCACTGTTTATTGAAAGAATAGCTGCAGTCTTTTTAAAGAATATATTATATGTAGATTATATAGAATATATAGAATATAAATATAAAATAGACTATAAAATAAAAAATGTAACAATATCAGATTATTGCAACATGTAATTTTGGACCTCTTTTACAGTTCCTTGCCTGATGATTCACAGGGATGAGCCTAACATGGGTAACACTTTGTTCCTAAATCCATACAGCTGCAAACCCCTCCTTGTCCTATTCAAAGGCCTTTTGTCTTTGTTCAATTTTTTGCTGTGCCTCCTTTCGTCATTTAAGGTGACATTATTTATTAACCGCTCACGTGAGGGTTTGGGGTTACATATAAAATCCCATCATTTTCCCTTCTAGCTATGGATGTTCCTTGCTGCAGGGAGGGGGGTGACAGTGGGAGAGAGGAAAAGGTTGGTCCTTCCTTGGAAGGAAACGAGGAATAAATTAGGGACTCTCTTTTGCCAGGACACGGCGGCAGGGGTGATGCTGTGATGGGTGATGCCGTTACTGTACTTCTGCCTCTATGGATCTGGACACTGTACCATTAGCAGAGACGCACGGAAATATTTTCCCATTAGTTTCCACGATGGAAGCATCCCTTTTCCCCCACGTGCCACAACAGGGCATCCCTGACTCTTGGCTTGTATCGTCATCGTGCTCTCAGTACAGTGATGAGGTAGGAAAGAAAAGCAAAGAGGTTGCAGATATCAGGGGAATGGGCTGATTTTCTCATACATAAAAGCATCTTTTTAATAGTGCTTCTGATTCTTTCTTACATACTCTCTGGGAAAAAAGTCTATGAAATAGGAGGTGATTTTTTTCCACCAGCTCTCACAGTTGTGAAACCTGCTGCTAAAATCTCTCCGAGGTTTACTGTCTTAAAACACCCTATTGATGATTACAGGAATTGCTAAAATTTTTTCATTGTTTCCATTGCTAGACTGCTCATACCTGTGTTTCAACAGGACACGTAGCATCTGTGACTGCTGCTGTGCTCTCCTGGTTTTTGTTGTACACAGAGGATGTTGATTTTGTTGTTTGTTGTTGTTGTTGTTGTTTAGGTTTTTTTGTTGTTTTTTTTTTTCAATTTACAAAGGAACAGCGAAGCCAAATTGGGGATTTCAGGAGTTGAGCAAATTCTTTGCTGCCCGTTACAGTTATTCACTGCCAGGCAGAGAGCCAAGGGGTAAATCCCCACCATTTGGATGGGAATTACTGGAGTTGGGATAAGCCAGTGGCTGAAGTCTATCAAGGAAAGATGGTGCCACCCCGGGTGGTTTCAGTGAGGGCTGGACACCATGGAGACGGCCTGAGCGTGGGGATGGAGGGAGGAGAAGTGGACTGGGCAGAGTTACCCCTGAGGCCACTCACCTTCCTGTGGGAGAGGAAGATTGGGCTGTCACAGCTGTGCCTTTCGCTGCCCTGCTCCAGCCCCGGCTGCTTGGCCATGGAAGGCCATCTCCTGTGCTGGGGCAGAGGTGGGAGAGGTGAAGCAGGGGTGGACATTAAGGTCGGGATGCCTCAAGTGTGGGAAATGGAGCTGGGGTTTCAAGAATAGCTGTGGGTAGAGGGAAAAACCCTGGTTTTGACAGAATAAACTTTTGCCTATGGAAAGTTTCAAAGGAGTTTCCTTATAGCTCTCCTGTAAAAAATACATATCATAAAAATCATCTGCTCCTGGGGCGAAGCTCTGTGCACTGAGTGCTTGCAAGGCAGAAAAGCTGTGAGGTTGGTTCGTCTGAGCTTTCACAGAGCTCAGGTGTGCCAAAGGCAGAGATGCTCCAGGACCTGCCCTGGGACTCTGGAGCCACATCCGCCCTTGGCTCTTGGGCAGCTGTAAGGACATAGGGGGTGTGCAGGACAGGAGAGCCTTCCTGCTTCCCCAACAGTAAAAACAGCTGCTGGCCTTCCCACCACGCTGGGGACAGGAGGTGTGGGCCACCTTCCCCCTGCACTTGCTGCAGCGGATGCAGCCGTGTGCCAGTGCTGGTGTCTGAGCAGAGATGCGGGGCTGGGGCTGCCACCGAGGGTGAGCGCCCGCTGCCTGGGCTCAGCCCGGCGCTGGATTTCCATCCCGCGTCAGCTGCGCAGCTCCAGGCAGTGGCTGAGCCGTGTTAACATCCCTGGGGAGACCTGCCCTGCTTCTGGAATTGCTTGGGGCTCAGCACCATGGATCCTGCCCAAGGCTCAGCACACATGGACATCGCTCAGGGCAATTCTGGCCGTGCCATGCCACCGGGCTCCATGCCAGCCTCCCACCAGCTCTGTTTGCTCTCAGAGGTGGCGTTGGCCTTCAGGCTGCGCCAGGTGTTTGGCCTTGTGTCCATCGCTTTGTCTGGCTTTCCTCTCCCACTCCTGGCTGTTTGCATGGGAGAAGGTGCCCTCCCAGACCTGCTCCCCCTACAGCTTTTGCTCTGCTTAAACTCTGGCTTGGTCAGAGGCCATGGTTCCCTGATCATCACATGACCATGTCCCTCACCGAGCAGGACCACAAGACATCAGCCAGCAGAGCAAAATAGCTGTGATATATTCACTATTGCTAACAAACATGCCTGTATGGGACCTTCACAAGCTGTGCAGTGACCTGCCCCGGCATCTGCTGGTTGCTCTCAAAGTGTTCGTTACTAAAGCCTTATCCACCAGCGTTGGCAGGAGCAAACCAAAAGCACCTTCATGCTGTCCCACAGATGAACATGGAGGAGAGATGAGGAGCTCACAGCATCTCCCCAGCCCGCTGAATCCCCTCAGTGCACCAGCCTCGGTGCCCCCAGTGCAGAGCCAGTGGTGGCATTCACCCTGCTCAGCACCCTTTGAGAAATGCTCAGCAAGCTGCAGGATCCCGCCTGGTCCTGTTGCCACCTGTGGTGTGAAGGAAAAATATTAAAGTCGTCATCCATCTCAGGAAAGAAATGTCTGTCTTGCAGTGCAAGCCCATGTCTGGCCCCTGTAATGTCCTTCCCAGGTCACATCCAGGCAGGGCTCAGCACAGTGCAGGGGATGGTCCGTGGCTTCTCCCTGCCTGAGATGAGGGGAACCGGTGGGATTTACTGCTTGTGGACACGAAGCCACAGCCTCCGTCGCAGACCTGGGGAGAGACAGCATCTGTCAGCCCTGGGATCTCCTTCCAGCCACCCATCCTGCTCCTGGGCTCTCCCGGGAGCCCGACACCCCTCATCGTCCCCCGGGGCTGGCTAGATGCTTACGGTAGAAGCGGTGGACGGTGGAAACCAGGCTCAGCAGGAGGACCAGGACACCGACAGCCAGAGGGACCCAGACCAGGGGGCTGCAGGCATCTGGAGAGGGAGAGGACTCAACATCTGGCACTGTCCTGCCCCAGCAGCTTTGGGTGATGGAGTGTGGGGTGGTAAAGGGAGAAAAGCAAGGCAGGTCCTCAGAGGAGGGGTGGAGGCCCTGCCTTGGGCCCTGCCTGAGGGATGGCCATCACCCTGGGGTATCCCTTGGAGGGTGCATTACACCTGAAGGCATGGCAGGCAACTTAGCTATGAGTCACGACAACATAAATTGAAATACATCCTTAAACCCGTGTACATCCCAGGGAACCACTTCTAAAGGAAGAAGTCAACTCCATCCGGAGCGGTGGGTCCAGGTGTACCCGGATGCCCATCCCTGCAGGGTCACATTGTGGTTGCCCCCACCCCAGGACAAACCCCAGCTGGACCCTGGGGACCCCCAGGAGCTCAGCAAATCCCTCTTGCAAGGCAGCCTGAGCCAACCCGGTGCCGTACCTTTCTTGTCAGCAGCTTTGCTTTTGGTTATGCACCGCACGGGCTTTGTGGACAGCGGTGCCTTGGTGGTCTTCAGAGACAGAACATCAACTGGTGGATAAGGAGAAGAGGATGGTCAATATGGCACCAAGTGCAGCGGAGATCTCAAACAGCAGGCAAGGAGGGGTTGAAATTCTGGCTTTTAAAACTAGCCCCATTCAGGGACCCCCCACAAAGGGCTTGGGTTATCCAGAGGGGCCAGGAGCTTGATGTGAACCTCTTGGTGGCCACAGAAGTTACCAAGAGCTTGTAAAAGTGTTAATAAAACAATGATCCAGGCAAACAAGGGCAGAAGGTTAAGGCAGAGAAAAAGGAAACTTCCTCAAGCTACATTTACTGCCAGACGCCATCTCATCAGCGTTGCATGAAATCACAGGTAGTGGGAGATTCCAATAGCACTGGGAGGTTTTAAGAGATCCCTGGATCTTTTAAATACCCAGATTGCTCTAATCTTTGCTCAAAATTAGATTTTTTTTTTTAAATGATAACATGAGAGCAGGATTTATTATGGTGTATCTGAATTACAGCAGAGTGCATTCATCTCTCTGTTAAATTGGCCAGGAAAATATCCCAGTAAAGTCATTAAGTAATTGTACATCTGACCGCTCAAACTCCACTTACTCAAAATTTTACATGATTCAAAACTATTTTTTTCTGCTTCTATCCAAGATTGAAATTCCTAGGGAAACCACTGTTCTTTTACATGGAAAGGTGAGACATTAGGTGTCTGAGATTTATCTGGACAACTTCTCCCTTACATTATAGTAGACTTAAAGAAAAGGAATTTAAAGACAGTTTCTTTTATCATGTCTACTAAAGGAAGAAAAACAAAATATCCAGCAAAGCCCGAGTCTTCCCACCTGCTGGTGTTTAGTTTTAAATTGGAGTGTCCTTGATCATGCTGTTTTTCAGCCCTGTTTTTCATTCTTTGTTTTGCACACAGATATGTGCCCAGTAGATAGAAACCAGTTCTCCTTTATCTTAAACCAGCTTTTCTTTGAGCTGGCAAGAATCCGAAAGAGATTTCTCAGCCAGCTCAAGGTGCAAGGCATATTTGCAAAAACAACCAGAAAGGTTGGGACACTGGGGATGATTTAGAGCCAGCATCCATAGCTGCATATTGATTAAATAAGTTATTTGTCTCCCTAAAAGCTTGCAAAAAAGAAGTTGATTCCTTCTTAAACCACATTATTTTTTTCTATGTCGGCTCCTGCTCTCTGGTCAAGGGGAAAATGGGCTGAAAAAATCTGTACGATCCAGGGTCTCTAACACATCACAATGCCACTCACAGACAGCTCTGATTTCTGGCTGGAGCTCCCCAACGATGGTGGGTTGAGAGCTTTGAGGAATAAATCCCATTTCAATTCTTTATGTGAAGGACAGGCTTGAAACCTGCAGTCAGATCCACCCCAGCGCTGAGAGGGGTGATGCCCTCCAGCCTTCGTGTTGCTCTTGTCACTTGGAGGAAGGAGCTGGGAGCTGAGCAAGGCACATAACCAGCCTCTCATCCAAAATACCACAGGGGACAAGAAAAATGCAGGACATGGCAATATTGGGGCTGAGCATCTTCCCATGGAAAGCCTAGGACATTAGGATCAATGCGTTGCTCAAGGTATGACCACAGCAGAGCAACTGCTGGTGGCAAAAGGACTGACACATGCAGCTGACCTAAAATACAGCTGTTTTCTGTATTTTCTGACTTCTTTGGTCTCATAGGTCTCTTCAGTAAAACCCCAGAGCACCAAGCTCGCATGTCAGAATTGGAAAGGGTCTACCAACATGCACGACCCCTTACCTAGGAGACCTCATCACAGCCCACCGATGGCACAGTTTGGAGACCTGGGGGTGACGCTTACCCACATTGAGCCATGTCCCACGGTCCAGGAAGAGCTGGGAGGACTGGGAGATGGAGCAGTAATAGACGCCGTTGTCTGAGGCGTGGAGGTGGCTGATGTGCAGGCTGGAGGAGGTGTGGGAACTCGTCCCATGGACACTAAACTTGTCCTGGCTGATGTTTGTGCCATACGTGGCTTTGCCTAATGGGTTGGAAAATAGTAAGAACTCGAAATTTTTCCTCTCCTGGCTCCAGCGGTACCAGTACACCCCAGTGTGCTCCTTCTTCAGGTCACAGAAGATTTCTGTTTTCTTGTTCGTGTGGGCTAAAATATGCCGTGGAGTCTGAGATGAAAGTACATTTGTACAGAAACCTAAAAAAAAGAGACAGGAATACATAGGTATTATTTATTTTTCATTATTTTTCTTCCATGCCAAGTATAAATTTTCTTTGTGGGCTTAAGAACATCAAGTAGTCACAGACCAGGGGATTATACGAGCAAGAAGCAGGATCTTTATCGGGATGATGCCGTATTCCCTCAGAGTCCCTTTCGAATTCCCCAGCTATTTTTTGGTCAAGCCTAGTTACACAGGTAGCGTTTGCTCTGTAAACACTCATCTAGAAAGGAGGCTCGGTGGCTGGGAGAGGGATGGAGGGATGATTTCGAGGGTGTCCTCGGGGCTGTATGTGCAGGGAAGGACATCGCTGCCTGCTCCTGCAGACACCCCTCTCCTACTCTCCTTTTCTCTCTCATTTTTTGGAGAGGCTTCACTGATTTCGAGGGTGTCCTCGGGGCTGTATGTGCGGGGAAGGACATCGCTGCCTGCTCCCGCAGACACCCCTCTCCTACTCTCCTTTTCTCATTTTTCGGAGAGGCTTCACCTCTCTTTCAGCAGATTTTTTCTTTTGAGCCTCTTAACTTATTTGCCAGATTTTTGTTCTAACAGCAGTAACATCAGTAAACTTCAGATCGCATCTCAGGCACAGAAAAAGAACAAAAAAAAGTGCAAAACATCTCAAAACGAGCCGATTTCATACTAGTTTTCAGACGATGTTATTTTTGTACGAATTTCGAGACCTGGGGAAGGAGCAAGACAGAGGGGTAGTGGTGGGATTGAAAGCTTCGGTTTGGCATCACATCACCTTGTTTGGGCTTTGCAGCTTTTGTGAAAATTATCTGAGTTGTGTTTGGCCTGGGCAGATGTGAGCGGTGTCTGCGCGCGAGCGAGGATGTGTCCTTGTGAAAAGGATAACAGGTGACTCGTGATCCCTTCTGTTCAGCAAACAATCCTACAAACCTGCAGATACTCTGAGACTAAGGAAAAAACAGGTCTTTGAAGATACAGATGCTCTCGCTTCCCCTGCCTTCTTCCCAGGCGTGTTTTAAAGCTGCGGAAAAAGCTCGACAAAACACATTTTTGGGCCTTTTTTACACTAAAATATCCCTATTCCTTCAAAATCTCAAAGCTGCTTATAGTAGTTGTTACAAACAGCCTCATGCAGCCCTGCAAACCCAATGACTGCAAGAACACCTGGAACCATCCCCATGGCCCATGGCCCATGGCCCCAATGTCCCCCATGTCCCCAGTGGGGACAAGGAGAGGAGAGGGCTCTGGTGACTGACACAGGTCCAGAGCCCTCCTCCATCCCCACGCCAACGGCCCCACTGCTCCCAGCTTGCAGTGGGACAAGCAGGCTTCAGCAGGCTTCAGCTCTAATGTTGCAATGCTGAAATTCAGACTTTGCACACCAGCTGCAGCGTTTCACTGCATCTTCTGGTGCTGTGACAATATAAATGTCTCGTTGTTACTAAAATACATCATTTTCAGGTTTTGGAGTGTAATCCTCCCCAAGTTTGCTCTGGCAAATGCCTCTGTGTGGTTGTAGGGGATGAAACATGTGACCATGGGGCATGGCGCCTTCAGGGTCTCCATGGCTGCTCTGAGGTCCAGCTCTGCTGGACATGGGAAACTTAAACCCCCATGAAAACCTTTTCCTCAAGCTGTTGGAGAGATGTTAGATGAATCAGAAGGGATGAGAAGAAACCCTGGAAAACGCTCTGCTCAGCTCTGAGCCAGTGGTCAAGGTCCAGCGGGGTGAGCTGGGATGGAGTCAGAGCAGAAAACCTCATCCTATGCCGCACCTTCATCCCCCAAAATCTCCCTGTTCCCTTTCCTGGTGTATGTTCTCGCAAGGCACCACAGGAAATCAGGGTGGGATGAGTTTGTTTCCACATGCCTGGCCAGACCAGCCCGCAGCAGCTCAAAACCAGTCCCTTTTCCCTTTGCGTGTGCAGAGCAAACTCTAATTTACTGGGTTTTTCTCAGCGGGGACCCCACCATATAGATCTATAGGATATTATCACCTGTATGTATATGTCAATGAAGTGCCTCAGGCTGTTTGCTGCCAGATCTGCTGTGTTATGTCGCAGCTGGATCACCATTACACGCCACGAATAAAACACCCTGCAGTCCTGACAGCCTCTACCAAGGATGCTGGGCGGCTGCGGACCCAGGCTGGGCAACATCTAGGGGGGCCGACTTGAGCTGCCACCCTAATATATATGTTTAATGGGTGTTTCAAGCTTTCAACAATTTAGACCTAGGAACTGATGGCACAGTTTGTCCTATAAAGCGTAATTCTACCACTTTTCTACGACATCGACTGTGTATATTTGATCCAGACTTTCAGCACCTGCAATAAGCAGAAGGCAGGATGGTTTCAGAACACATTGATTCCAGCTGTGGCCCTTGGGAAACATGCAGTCCTTGGATAGATTTAGAAGAAAATTTGATGGGATGTTTATCATCTTTGCGTTACGCAGGCAGTGGAGATGGGTGCTACTTTAACTTCTCCATCAGCGGCTTCCCATAGTCCGTGTGTGCTAAGAGGGTGCAGTAAAAACAAACTCTGAGATGTCTATACCATCATATATTGCACTATAAATAGGGTAGGGCAGGGTAGGGCAGAGTAGGATAGGATAGGATAGGATAGGATAGGATAGGATAGGATAGGACAGACTATTTCAGTTGGAAGGGACCTACAGTGATCATCTAGTCCAACTATCTGACCACTTCAGGGCTGACCAAAATCTACAGCATGTTATTAAGGGTATTGTCCAAAATTACACGATGATAGGTAATAATACCCTGTAGATCTATGCTATGCCTGTAGATTTAAAGTTCCATCATCCAGATGCTGTGCAACGCATCCCATGTGCTGGAGCGGGTGGGAAGAGAGGCTCCAGCGTGATTTGAGACGCCCTCAACCCTTAAGAGACATGTCCTTCTTACCTGTGATTTGGACGCAGATGTAGAGATGGAGCCACAGCCGGGCCATGGTGGTGGAGTCAATGATGGAAGGGTTTTGTGCCAGCTCCCACTTCCCACACACGGTCACTTCTTGGTGGGGCTGGCTGCACCCCACGAGGTCCTTCCCCGTCTCGGCGCAGATGTTTCACCAATGGCTGGCCAAACATATCTGCCGCGGCAGCTCCCGGAGCCTCAGGCCGGCAGCTTCTGCACCGAGCCTCCAAACCAGGTGTGCGTCAGCCCCACACGCTTCTCCACGAGATCCCCCCCCAGATCCCCTTTAGGAAGGAAAAAAAAGAAAACTCATTGATTTTTAATTATGATTTCTTCATATTTCTTCACCAGTTTTTAATCCTTCTTTTAATCTAGCTCCATGCAATTAAAAAATGACAAATGCAGGAGCTTGGCATTAAAAATCAAAGCAGGAAAGGATGAATTTTGGGTGGTTTCTCCTCTGTTGAAATCAAAAAGCATTCAAAATAAGAAAAGCCTGCAATTTGAGCAGTGAGGCTGTTTTCTTCAGCAGAATCTTTAGCAGGAGTTGTTTTTCTCCAGGCCTGGAAAATATTGAACACCAAACAAGCTCACCATAAAACAGAGGCACGAGGCATCACAGAAAACTTTGAAGCCAAGAGCAAGAAACCTCAAACAAATTCAGTGGCTGAAAAACCGCAAAAATAAGGAAATTCTGCTGGGGCTCCCCACCTCGCAGCGGGTGCTGCTTTGGTAGGTGTGACAGTGCACGGCTCGTACGCAGAAAAGTTTAAATGACAGAGAAAATAACAGAGTGGCTTTGAAACCTCTTCAGGAGGGGGAGATTTGAAGCGCTTGGGGGTTAGTATTCGAAGTGGGAAAGGCGTGATGTGAAATTATAGGTGTGAATTGCTGTCGGCAGCCTTCAACATTTCAATGTTTTTGGAAAAAAATATAAATTATTGATTTTATTTATTCCCTGTTCCCCTGACTGCCAAGAGGTATTCGATTTTCTTGTATGCCCTCCTTGGGCAGATACTCTTGGTCCTTTCAAAGCCCCAGCATCTCCCTCGGGGCTGGCTCCCCAGCAAGGGGGGATTTCCTGGGGGTGTCTCACATGGGGACACCAAGAAACCTCCCCCAGGGGTTGAGCTGGCAGAGGAATAGGAAAAACAATATTGCACCTCGTAATATTTTTGGTCCATTTTGTACCAGATTTTTCCATGCTACCGTAACACATCCCCTCCTCATCACTGTTTAAAATAATTTCCTGCTCGAAGTGGGTTGCTAACCACCGAAAGTCTTGCCAGGAAGGACTCGACTGAATCTCTCCTTAACTCTTTCCTGGCAGGGGAAACTAATTTTAGTGCTTTCAAATGCATTTCAGTGCTTTTAAGCTCTTGTTTTCACAGCTGAGCCCCCAACATGGGGCGCAGCAACCCTTGCTTTCCCCCTCGTTACCTCCTGCTCTCCTTTCTCCTTGCATTTCACATCACTCCCAAATTGGGACCTCCCCAGAATGGGGTGTAGGCACCTCTTTTTTTTTTTTTTTTTGGAGAGGTTTGTTTAGTATAAGAAATGTCACTGCAAGTGAATTTTCCCTTTATCCCCATGGTGAAGTCGCTGAGCTGAGCCCAACGTCCCTGGATGCTGTGACAGCTGTGTCCTCCTTTTCTCACCACTACTGTCACCTGGAGCATCTTCTGGCCTCCTGGCCTGGACCAAAGTGCTCCCAGAAGTGGCTTTTTTCACCGTTACCACCTCGGACATAGGGAATGTTACACTGAGCACTAAATGCTGCTGGAAGGGGAGTGACATTGGGTGGTCTAAGCAGATGTTTTGGCACGGGAGGATTCCCAGGCAATTATAGCAGCTTTAGAGATGCTTCCCCACAGCGCTTTTACTTATAGGACGTCTCCTATGAAAAGAAAAAGGAATATTTGCAATGAAAAAGTATAGTGTATGTGCTGGAACAGGGATTAATTTTGAATTTTTTTTGAAGCTGCTGTTTATACGCACTTCATCTATTTACCAGTGGCCAAATAGTTCTCAGGACAGGGTGTTACTCCTACGAGAAAACATTTTGGAGGTGGAATGCTTTTGTCTGGCAGCCTATTGCCGACAGAAATAAAAGCGCTGTGGGAACGTGCAGGAGAGCAGCTGCTGTTTGTAACATCTCCTCACTGTTTGGGGCTGCTGTCCTGGGAAGAAAACGGGAGGAAAAAAGGGTGTGAGTTTAACTGATCTGTTAACACAAGCAAGACTTGTTGGTGACCTTGCTGGGGTACGGCAGCTCCTCATCACGAGTGTTTGGCTGACAGCCAGGGACAAGATGGGGGGATTGCTGGATTTTGGTGTATTTGTGTTATTCGGCAGCATGGTTTCTAGGGGGAATTTATTCCCTTTTTTGAAATGAAAGACAACCATCCCGGTCCCCAGCCCAGCCATTTCACTGCTCCATCTCAATGTTCGCCCTGTGGGTCTCCTCTTCGACCATCCCTGGGGTAAATAGCTCCTTTTCTTTTTTTTCAGCCTTGATCCTGCGCACCTCACCACTCTGACACTAATCCCCTGTGTTTTCATCAGCTTTGTTACATTTTTTACTCTTTCTTTTCTCCCTATGATGGGTTTCTTACAGCAAAGCGTTTGCTTTTGAGGGGTTGGAGCCAAGCATCAAGGTAGAAGAAGGGGGTCTACAGACAAGGAGCAGGACCTGGCTGGGGTCTCATCTCTGCTGAACTCCCATGTTGCAGCAGAGGTATTTATAGAATCACAGAATGGTTAGGGTTGGAAGGGACCTGAAAGATCATCTAGTTCCAACTCCCCTGCCCCCCTGCCATGGCCCCAGCCCCCTTCCACTAGATCAGAAGCCTCATCCAACCTGGCCTTGAACACCTCCAGGGATGGGGCATCCACAACTTCTCTGGGCAACATGTTCCAGTGCCTCACCACCCTCAGAGGGAAGAATTTTTTCCTTAGATCTAGTCTAAATCTCCCCTCTTTCAGTTTAAAGTCATTGCCCCTTGTCTTATCGCTACATGCCCTTGTAAAAAGTCCCTCTCCAGCTTTCCTGTAGGCCCCTTTAGGTACTGGAAGGCTGCTAGAAGGTCTCCCCAGAGCCTTGTCTTCTCCAGACTGAACAACCTCAACTCTCTCAGCCTGTCTTCATAGGAGAGGTGCTCCAGCCCTCGGATCATCTTTGTGGCCCTCTGGACCCACTCCAGCAGCGCCATGTCCTTCTTGTGTTGGGGCCTCAGAGCTGAATGCAGTACTGCAGGTGGGCAGAGTAGAGGGGCAGAATCCCCTCCCTCGACCTGCTGGCCACACTTCTTTTGATGCAGCCCAGGACACGGTTGGCTTTCTGGGCTGCAAGCGCACATTGCCGGCTCATGTTGAGCTTCTCCTCAACCAATACCCCCAAGTCCTTGCAGTTGGGCTGTAAATGCCAGACTGGAGGAACAGTTGCTATAAAAATGAGGAAAAATCCAGTCCCTCTGTTCTTTCGGGACTACAGGGGCTGAATTTTGGGATTGGGGAGGGCTGCTCAGCCTTGAGCCCGGTCCAACGTAACCAGTACCACGGTACCTGGAAATAAGGGCCAGTTGGGCAAAATGGGCTGCTGGATGGAAACTGCCCAGGACTCAAGCAGCCATAGGTGAATATTTTTTGGTTTTTAGATTTTTTAAAATTATTTTGTTCCAGGGAAGGGTGAAGCTTCTGGGGTATTTCATTAGAGGGAAAAGGAGCTAAGAAAATGATAGCGTTTTCACTGAGATGAGTACTACCTTTTTCTTCATGTAATAGCAGAAAAAAAAATTCAGGTGGGTCAAGTTCTCTTTTCTAAACTGCTCAGCTAGGATGTGGTTTGTAGGGTGAGGTTGGGGAGGGGGGTGTCTGTCTGCCTTTGCAGGTGCCGACTTACAGCTGTACTTCAGCCGATGCAATACCACAGTCGAGGCTCCTGACACGTCGTGGGGTACCTCCAAGCTACATGCCAGCATGCGGTGGGCTGGTGTGTGGCATGGAAAAATGCTGCTTTTGAAGTCCAGAAGCCAAAATGGACCTAAACTACAAATTGTGTGAATTATCCTACCATCTCGCCTGCCCCCATCAAGTAGATCAGTGCTCAGACGTAGGGGTTTTGGGGACCGTGTGTGTTACAGGTGTCAGATGTGAGCCCCACGTGTGGTCTCTTCCCAAAACCCAAGTGCTAACGGGGCGTGCAGCAAGTGAGGAGGCCGTCAGGTGAATTTGGGAGGATGGATGGTGAGGGGACAGGCTCCAGCTCTCCCTCTGCAGGGCACCTGGTGCAAGCAGAAGTTAGCATGAGCAAGCCATGACTAATCTTGGGCCCCCCCCAAAACAGATAAGGGGCAGAGAGGCTGCTCTCATGTGACTTCAGCCTCCCTAATCAGTGACAAAGAGGATAAAGAAAGACAAGGAATCTGTCCTTGAGAAGGCAGGAGGAGGGATCCAGCACCTGCAGGAGAAAGCGCCACCGAGAAAGTAAACAGAGTCTTTATCAGCCCCAAACAACAACCTGCCATGACTATAAAGAGCCGTCGGCCAGAGGCCCTGCAACTGCCTTGACTTAAAGGTGCCGAGTCTGCCGGAGCTCTGCAGCGACCGTCTCCACCTCCCCAGGACTGCCAGGACATCCAGCCAAGGATTGGTGAGATCTTATTATTGGGATCTTATTACCTCTCTGCTTTGCCTTACCCCTTCCCGCATCCCTTCCCTGTCCCCTCCTCGGGAGCCGGCGGGTCGCGGCGGCTGCCCGCTCGGCCGCGGTCGTCCATCCCTACCGTCCCCTTCCCTCGCTACCAGGTTCAGCATCCCCCCGGGTGGCTTTTCGGAGGGGTGGGTGGCGGGGTCACAGCCTTCCCCTGCGGGTGGGTCGGTGGTGCTGGTGTTATGGTAGCTCTGCCCTGAGACAAAGCCGTCTCAGATCTTATCCCCCTCACTATGATGAGCGACATCGTTAGCAATTGGAAGCTGGAGCAGTTTGTGCTCCAGAAGTGTCTCCCCCCGGTTTGGTCCCCGGGAGCCTTCCAG